CTCTTCCATCAGATGGCAGTTTTGCTCTGCCTCATTCTGTTTCTCCCGTCTTGGCCGTAAAACGATACCAATCCTTTCCTGTCTAATAATTCCCTTTCCTTCCCACCAGCTTGATATAAGAAATTCATCCCATAAGCCACGCAACGCAATTCCTTGATTTCCCTTTCATTTTCATCATCCAAAATGAACTACCTCGCCGTCTCCCCAGTCCAAGCTGACCTCATCCCCTCCGTCTTATACAATCATCTGCGCAACTCCCGCACCACCAAGCGTCTTGCTGCCGACAAACGCCTGCCCCTTGACACCCGCAAGCAAGTAGCAAATAGCCGTGATGGTCAAGAACACCGCCGCGGCCACCAGACTAGTCGCTCCTCCGACGATGGAAATGAACTGGAGAGCGCCCATCACACCGTAGGCACCCGCGCGCATGTAGTTGGTCGAGATGCGACGGATCGCGGCGTCGAATCCGGACGAGGTCGGGCAGATACGGAGGAGCAGCGGGACCTCGACGAAGACGATGACGAAGCCGGACACACTAGTCGAAAACAAGAAAGTCAGTATTTACGCAGAATTGGGTTGGGGAGGGACAGGACTCACAGGCAGAGCACTGCAAAGATGGTTATTACGATGTGGAGCGTAAAGATGCTGCTCACGATGTTGGCAATGCCAAGAGCAAAGCACAGGATCATGGAAAGGATGCCGATCCTAGAACGATATCCATGCCCAGGTTAGCCACTGTCTGCCTCCTTCTTTCGTCCCTGCTTCGGCTGATGTTGTCTGGTCTTGCGCAGGTTGACTTCTCTTTGGCTCTCGAGTAAGATCCATTTCTGAATGCTACTCAGAGGCAGGAAGCTGTTCACGCTTCGAGGATGTATGCCCATTGCATGTACGAAACAACGAGCAGATGGTTGGGGGTTCTTGTGCTCACCATTGTGCGTAGATGCCTATTTGGTAGAAATCACACGTATTAGCAAAGCGAGAACATGAACAGATGCGGGCTACCGTGTCACACTGGACCGGTGGTGCACGAGAGGCATGGACGAGCAAAAGAACATACTGAAGTTGCGAGTCTGGAATTCCTCCTTCAACGTCATTTTGCCGGTTGGTAGATGTGTAGCTCGATCGAAAAGGGCTGTTCTTTCTCAATCCCAGGTCCCGTTGAAAAGGATGCTGCTATTCTGCTGCCTCTTTTCGTTCTCTCGAGAACTTTGCGAATTAAGTTTTCCTAGAGTCGGCCGGCCGATCGACCGTTTCGTCAAGGGCGGCTTTCGGGGTCAGGTGATGTGATGATGTTTCGAGAAGGGCGAGAATGACCTGTTCTGTTCTTTATGCCGTGTTTCTTCGCTTGGCGGATGTGCGGTGCGGGTAGTTCGGGATGCGACAAGACAGGGCGAGCCTTCTATTCAACCCTTTGTCTATTCAAATCGAACCTGGTGTGGGAGACGTAAATGGTATCGAGGGATAGATCCTCTACGATCCCAGCTGTTGACAAGCTCTCGGGTGGTCGGCAACTTAAGAGGCAAGCTACTTTGCTGTCGCAAAACAACAAAAAGGGCGATTGATGGTTTGTATGCTTTTCCAGAAAGTACAAGTCAGCGTTTCGTGTCGGAGTGCGCAGAGTTCCAGCTAGCTTTTCAAGCTGAACAGTGATAGATTTCTTTTTGTAAGTAGAGAGGGAGAAGTGGTTGATGGCGAAAAGGTTCAGATGACTTCGCAAGTACACGCAACGCAATTGCTTACGATTGCAGATGAATGGGTCCTGCGGCGCTGACGGCTCAAAAAGTTGGAGCACGTTGTCTTTTTGCTCCCCGACCCAAGCAGCCAAGCCTTGGAAATATTAGGGGAGTGACAGTGCTGCGCTGGAACGTGTTACCGGGCTGGCATGCAAGTTGGTATCCGTACGAGTATGTACAGTACTGATTACAGGGTTGCTGGGTGACACACTAACATCTTGCTATCGACAATGACCAAGAACCTGTTAGCAGCCAGCCCTGTTGGGGACCACTGATGTCAGACGCCGGTGGGGTTGTTAACGTCAAGGTTCGTGGCGGTGCTTCAAGAATTCCCCGTACCCCGGTGTCTCTCTCGTCTCTTCCTTCTATCTAGATGCTCTGCCGCCTTACACTATAAAGAAGCCCGGTTAGTGTCAATTCTGCGACGGCTGGTTAGGCCCCTGATCAAAGAATGATGGGGATGTCCTGCTAGATTTCCGAAACAGGTTCCCAAACATGGAATGCGCCGATCTTGGCAAAAGTTGTTGATATATCATCGGGAAGACTCAAATACGATCTACCTATTGCCCGGCTCATCTGCCAGGCACCAGTTCTCTTTGTTCTTCAGAGCCGTCAGAGCTGACGTGCTGTTACGACCAAGTCTTACGCGGCAACTTACACCTTGATAAAGCCCAAAGTGGATCCGCGCATAGCTCTTCACGACTTGTTATGGATCAATGACCGAGGTGAAGGCAGTACGTGTAGCTGGATGCGGCACAAAAAGACCCTTTTTGGCCTCGTTGATTTTTGGGGTTTGTTTGTGGTTTGGACCAGTATTTATAATCCGGGTAATTCAGCGTCAACAAAACAACAACCAGAGGCCCATCCGTAAAATCGCCGTCCCCAACCACCAGATTCTCTCCAGCGCTCAAAGAGTAAAGGCCCAAGAATAGCTTGCTAAATCTGCTCTCTAATGAACCAATCGACTACCTCCTAGAGAAAGTCCTCGCAGGAAATCAAGCCCTCCGTGGGTAGCCCTAAACCAGGAGAGTGAAGATATCGTTGAAAAGGAACCAGGCTCCAGTGGGGTCCTTGACGAGCTGGAAGGTTTGAGCATAGTTGAGAGGGTTCTGCTCCTCATCGACCTATTAAAAGAGGAGAGGACATGTCAGAAGACCAACAGCTGCATCAATCTTGAGGTGTTCACCTACCAAGAGAGCACCAGCGACAAGGATAATGATGCCGTCGTTAGGAGTAGGCTGGGACTCGAACGATCTGATCTCGTGCTTCACTTTTTGGAACGGCAACTCCTATTTTCGCGAAGCATACATCATGAGTTAGACCCGTTCTTTCGAATAGACGGGAACCGGTCATCTTACGGCGAGCTTTTGGGCAATGGTGGCGGCACCAAGCTTTTTGTCTGACTGGAAGGTCATCATGGAGTTCTCTCGCTATGGTTTTCCGCTTGTTAGCTTTGGAATGACCCCACTGGCGGCGATGAAGTTGACGTACGTAGAGACCAGCCAGCGCGCCGCGATTGGTGTCGAATGTGTTGTAGTAGTGATCGACGAACTGCTCTGTTGCGTGGATTCACCAGCGTGAGTGACAGCCGGCCAGGATAAACAAGCAACGCCCATGTTGCCTGCGTTGTCTCGAGTCAAATATCAGGGACCGGAGTCGGCACTCACTCGCAATACTCTCGAACTCTGTTTTGTTTGCGCAAAATGTGTTAGCCAATATCGTCGACAGCTTCAACATAGTATGCTCGTAGGAAACCTTCCCCAGATCGCGGGGTAATTCTTGAGGGGTTGCGCATTTTGCGCTGGAGAACTCACCCATCTTGAATAGTTGGTTTATGGAAAGCTATATAGAGACGGGGTATCAAATAGAAAGCAAAACGTCGAGCGTTGAGAGAAAGCGAAGGCGTTTGGGGTTGGGATGCTGGTTGCACTTGGGTTCGGTTGTGATGTGTTCGAAGTTTGTAGATACCCAAGGATCTCGGGTGGGGGAGAGAAGCCTCTGGCGGCGCAACCGCACCAGGCACGTTGGTGGGGTAAATTTCGGCCTCAGGCAAGATCAACAATTGTGATGGTGGGGCGGGGCAGGATCACGTAATCCGACCAGGGCGTTGGGACCAGGGGGCACGCTGTGGAAATTTTGTATAAAAAAGTTTGCTGAACTCGCGAACCCGTTTCTTTCTCCTCTGCATCCTGCCGTTGCTCTTTGGCAACAAATCACAACCCAGTAGTGCTGGTCTTTCTCGACGATTTTTCGAAACGAGACAGCTCTAGATTCAGTATATCTAGAGTTACAGGCCAGCACTGACTGATCTTTTTTTAGGTAAGGCCATTCCTCAACTTCCATCTCTTCTTATTTTCATGATGATACAACCTTCTTATGTCAAACACCTCTGAATCATTATGTGGAACATTTAAATATCAAGCTCAACAGTCTGACTTCACTCCTCACTTTCTTTGTATTGCCAGTCTTTCGTCGGCGCAATATGCTAACGTGGGCGCAGATTCATCATAGGCCATCCCATATCTACGAAGATGCTGGTAGGATGGTATCACAACCCGTGGGTAAAGAAAGAGGTTACCGAACCGTGTTTCTTGTGCCTTGTCTTTATAGAGAAATACCATACATTCATCCAATTTTCCACACTCCATTCGAGCATTATGTATCAAGTGACAGCGTAAACTAGTTCCCTGTAGCAGGAGATCCGTCATAGTTAAAGCCTGGCACACGCCGGTATGTGATCTTATCATGGTGGAAGTCACCAGGCCTTGTCATAGAAGCAAGCTTCGAAACCTAGTATCAACGTCCGGAAGAGTCCATGTTAACATTGCCCTCAGCCTCTACTATTGTGAACGAGGACGGATACCGTGCCATATTATTTATTCGCTTCTCCCACAGAGAGCCCAGCACAAAACCCCAACTACCGAGCATGCACGTAAAGCCAAAAACAAAACTTTGAATTCTCTTACCAGGTGCTGTCTCCGTAAATGCGCATCTCCAACAACAGCCCAAACACAAGCCAATAAAGTCACATGAGACCTCCAAACAATAACAACAACCCAAAATGACCCGAACCCACTTTGGAGAGCTAGTATCTCGTCCCCACACCTGCACACAAGCCAAAACCCACCACATTGGGCAAAAGTTTTGAAAAAAACTGCCAGTGCCCACAAAGAAACAAAAACTAGTCCTTTATAAAGCTTCAACCCAGACCGGGAACCAACGAATCAGAGCCTAAGCCGAATTCGGTCTCTCTCTGATCAAAAAAAAGCCCGGCTGGCGCAATCGGTAGCGCGCAAGACTTCTACCGTCCTACTCAATAGGAAACTTGCTCAATCTTGAGGCTGTGGGTTCGAGTCCCACGTCGGGTGTCTTTTTTTTACTTCTTTCTTTGTTCTTCTTGATCCCATATTGAGGAGAAGGCTTTCTTTTTCCTTTTCTTTTTTATATATTCCAGGTCTTGTTTAGTCTGTCTATTTGAGCTGTGTTGTTAATTAATCTTCCATGTCGACGCTTCCGCTGCCTCCCGAGAGTCTGTTTAGCAAGTCACTACCTACCTACCTGCCCCCTTTCCTTTGCCCCTTCACGTCATCTCTCAAATAGCTTAAACCCTCATAGGAGTGAGTGTCTCTGTCCATTCCAAGACCAAGCAAGCACAGACATGTAGATACCGCGACTTCACCGTTAAGTGCTCGGGTGCCTGCCTGCCTGCCGGTCTGCTCAGAGCTTACGGGACTATGAGGATAGAAGAAGAAGCCCAGGGGGGATCTAGTGTCCGAGGTCTTTCTTGGTCACCGAACCCGCTGCTTGCCTGCTTGATGCATGACAGAACAATGAGAAGCCTTTGGGAAGGGAACAGCAGGGACAGAACCATACATAGTCTCAGTCAACCAAGGACATATACAATCCAACCTCCGCAGGTGAACGAACGATACAAGATCCAGCTGGGGGGCTCGAGAACTGAACCTGAGAGTATAGATGTGTTGAGAGAGAGAAAAAAAAAAGGACCGGGCCTAATTGATAACTCCTGGGACGGAGGGGGTCTGTCTGCTTGGCTTTCTTTCTTGCTTGACACCCACCTCGAACTGGATTGGTGTGTAGACAGACAGACGGGGATTAACAAGACAGTTATAGAAAGTTATAGTTACACAAACGTTGGGTTTGTAACTCAACGAACGATCAACAAGGTCAATATTCCCATGCCATCAAACATGATACCTCCTTCATGCCACGTACGTACGGATGCTGGTTTGTTTATATTCAACAATCGCAAGGACCTATAGATATATAGATATATATATATATATATATGAGCAGAGGGCTGGCTGGTTTCTCTACGAAAAAAAGACACAATGATGGTCTCACTCAGGGTGCCGGACATCAGAAACGAGCATTGACATGCTGCAATAGCAAATGGACCGGACGGGACAGAGCATGAGTATCGGGTGGAACGAGAAAAAGACAGAAACGGCATAGATATACGGGACGAGAAGAAGAAGAAGACCAAGTACCAGAACAAGAAAGGTCTTGCTTGATTCTTCAATCAAGCTGTTGTTGCTCTATGCCCCCCCTCCCAATAAGGCAAGGTTGCTTGCTCAGTAATCCAGTGATATTCTCAAATCAGCAGCACATTAGAATAATATAGTTAGTTTGTTATATGCCCAAGTTCTAAATTCCACCAAACACTTATAAATCTTGATATCCTTGAATTGGTAATAGCAGCAATGGCAATGATTACAGAAAAGGGAAAACAAAAGAAATAGAGAGACAGTGACATACAAGCAGATGACAGGTAGAGAGACAAATCGGCACGCTACAAATGCCCTTAAATAGCTGTCTGTCTGTCTGTCTGTCTACTTGTTTCTCCCTTTCAGGTCCACACACAAACACGTCCATCCATCCGCTTAACAGCAGCATTGGCATACCGCCTTTCGCCGCTCCTTGCTCCCAGATTTGGTCTAGCAAGTCCAATAGAGAGAGAACCAGACCCCTCCTTTCTTAATTTGCTCCCTGAACCACTCCCCTCCAGCCCATTCAAGGAGAAGCAAAGAGAAAAGAAGCAGTACATCCAGAACACATCCAATGATCGCTTTCGCCATGGTCGATGCGATATAAAAACTCTAGAACTATTCTTGTTTACTTTTTATTCGTTTGTGTTTTTTTCTTGATCCAGACATTCCAGTCGCTTGGTGATACTGGCTTGAGAGATATTTCTTATAACTCTTCTTCCTCTTCCATCGTTGTCGTGTTGCTTAGGTTGCTCACCGCTGGCGGCGCCGAAGATGGCGGCTGATTTGGAGTCGTCTGAGAAGCCTCTGCCTTTGCGAGTATATCCCCGAGGGCAAAACTCGCATTCCCGCCTCCCAAGCCCTTCCCGGCCCCCTCGCTAACGCTTGGCCGGGCCTTCTTGAGCGGGCTGCCGATGACATTGTCCTCTGGGAGGCTCTTTCCTAGAAAAGCAGTAGATGATATACCACTCAGGGGAGGGAAGACCGACTCAGTGGCGGTCGGTGGGGTCGCTGCGCCGGATGGCGCGGCGCTCGGTGACTTCCTGGAGCTGGCCGCACTGTCGGGTTCTGCTGAATGGGCTCGCTTGAGCTATAAAGTTGTCAGTACAAGGAAATAACACAATAGAACCAGTGATATAAGCTTACCCGAATCCTATTTACGCCCTCAGCCAGCTCTCCAGTGAATTTGGCATCCTCGGGACCAAGCTTAGACTTGTCGTACTTAGCATCAACGTCTTCCATCTTGACCAGGATCGCATCGCTGTCATCGTCATCCTCCTCCTCGCTATCCTCCTCCATGGTGTTCCCAAGGTCCCCGTTGCTGCGCCTCTTTTTCTTCCTCCTCGTTTGAGCATCGGTGTCGCGGAAAGTAGAAAACCCAACAGTACCGCTAGTCTTAAGCGGTCCTAGTTTAGAGAAATCAAGCTGGCCGGAACGTCTTTTCGCAGCGGTGGGAGTGGGTTGAGATTTGGTTGGCATGACGCCCATCTTCTGGAGTTGGCCTGCACAGACGGATTAGAAAAAGTCAAATGATATCAATGAGAAAAGCGGCTGTACTTACGCTCGCCGCGATAGAAGAACGTAAAGACTGCATACGGCTTGTCCGGACCGTCGATACCGGTCACGGTCTGAGTGCTGATGGTCTTTGGATCCAATGTCTTGGGCTTCGCGAAACTCGTAGTATGCTCAACGTCCGCGTCGATTCCGTTTGATTTGCCCTTTCCTCCGTCTCCATTCTCATTATCGCTATCATCGTGGGCATCGAACTGGGGCGAGTATTCTCCCTTCTTGATCTCTCCTGAGGCAAGTACTCGGAACATCGCTACCTTGATCTGCCCAGTAGCCTCTGGGGGTTCATCGTCGTCAGAGGAAGAAATCGAGTCGTCTTCGTCCAAGAGGGCTTCGATGGGCGAGGTGTCGTCCGCCCCGTATCGAAGAGTCTCGGCAGCTTGACGGGGCTTCTCGATGTCCATGCCCGAAGCTCCCTCGGCGCCGTCCTTTTGGCGTCTGCGGCGCTTCTCAAACTTCTGTCGTCGGCGTTCTAGCTTTTCTGCGGCATCGTGTCCTTGGAGGTCCAGACCGTTAAGCCAGCGCTCCAAGCCAACCTCGCGGAAGAGGAATTCGCGCTCGGCCAGACCGCCGCCTTCGGAGGCAGGGACCTGGACCCATCTGCTGTTAACCCAGGTCTCCTCGCCAGGGCGCAAAAGCGTAGCGACCTCCTCCTTGGCTCGGCCGTCGAAATAAATATAGGCGGCAATGGTCTCATTCTCGCTGTTGGTCATGGGAATGTAAGGATTCACAACGCCATTATAGGTTCTCCGGTCCGGGCTGCTCGAGGGCATGGAGCCGACATATTGAGGTTTCGGATAAGGATTGGTAGCGGTTGCTTTCGGCGTAGAATATGGTATCGCTAGTCCCGGGGTGAGCAGGGTGATCGAGATAGCAAACTTGGCGGGCCCCGGCGTCTTGGAATCGCCGGAGAGTTGAGGCGGCGGTACGGGGATGTAGGTGTTGATCCGCTGGACCCGTGACTGCTTCTGCACGCCATACTCAGGTAGAGGGGCGCCGTTTGCGTGAATGCTCACGGCGATACCCTTGAAGCAGGGCATGATTGCTGTCGACTCTGGTCAAGCGGACCGGAATGCCAGAGGCCGAGGTTCGCTTCGTCTGTTCCACTTCGTTCTCGGGGTCGGTGTCGGCGCAGGGCGACAGGAGAGTCGGAAGTTGTCACGACTCGTCGGGGAGGTGGAATTGAGGCGCACTATCTCGTGGTTTGCAAAACCAAACGGGGGGGATGGAGCTGAAAAACACGTTTTGGGCCTGGCTAGAAAAGCCAGCAAAAAGCCACCAGTTGCACAGACAGGGACCTTGTCCAAGCTGACAAAATAAATCCAGAAATATCGCCCGTAACCAAAAATGGCGGGGTTTTTGGCGGGGACAATGTCGCTTCGGGAATTTGGAGATGTTTGTTGAAATTGCTGATTTGTAGGCACTGCTCGATGTTGATTCAAGGCTTCGCCAAACTTGTCAAATACCTTCAGGCGACGCGACGGTTTCTGCACTCGCTGAGCTTGGATAATTGGCGTTTGTTCCAAGATTTAGAGTGCAAGCGATAAATGCTTTAAGAGTTTATAGTGAGGGGTTGGGCCAGTGACGAGGAACCTGAGATGACCAACGCAGCGAGCATCAGTCACCGTTTTCCAGTTATGTACCAAATTCCAGTCCTGAATCTCGTGCACGGCTGAGAGAAGAAAGCAAGGCGATATTGACCAGCCCTGGCCATAAACGCTGGCAGAGGTAGTCGTTGGCTTTGCTGTCTGGGTACCTGCGTTGTCGGTGAATGATCCAGGTTGTTCTGCTTGGTCGGTTTCGAGGGTTGCAAAGTTGTAACGAGCGATTCGAGTCCCGTGCCTGTTCGATGTCCTCTCTTGGAGATTGGACGGGGACTGGGGAAGGCGGGATGAAATTACCGGTACGGAGTATCAAAGGCGTAATTTCACTGGTGCCTGCCACCTCGAGATTCACGAAACACCCGACACCGCTATGAAGACGTGCGGGGCACTCACGACTGGTCCTGATTCCAAGGTCATTGCCACCAAGTTTGCTTGGGAGATAATAGGCATAATCACGAGTACAAGATAGTCACTCGCAAATATCTAAAAGTTTTATTTTCTATGTTCCAGTCTCTCCTAGATTGTCGTCAAACTTCTCGGGTCGTGAAAGACCGTTCTCCGAACGGTACGGTATTTGTACAACTGTCCTGTGGGGAAACTTAGCACTTTATGGGGCACCGATGCCCACTGACAGCGCTTGGCCTTGCAGTGGCAGAGCGGAGAACCTGGTGGGGTGCTGCCACAGACCCC